GTTTCAGGAGCTCGTACAGAAGGGACTTTAGAGAGTTTGCAAGGTGTTGGAGTCAATGTAAAGTATTGATAGTTTGTGAGGATTGTGTTGAGAGTTTGTATATATTTGATTAGTGGAAACACTCTCCTCTTTTCTTTATTGCATTTTTTTTAATTTAAAATTTATCATTTGATTAATTAAATAATTAACCAATAAATCAATTCTAAATTCCACTGCTCTCAAATTTTTTTAAATAACTCTCGGATTTTAAAAAATTTTATATTAAAATTCTTTCAAATTTGAAATGCTCTTATATTTTAAACAGCTCATGAGTTTTATATAATTAAATTAGTTTTGAAATGATTTATCATGATCTTTGTTATCTCAATAACTAGAGGGAAAGAGGTGATGCTTTGACAATAAAAAACCTCCAACATTTCAAGAGATTTGAAATGTCACGACAATTCAAAGTTTTCCGCTTAATGTTACTTGTGTTAAAATCTCTTAAAGAGGGTCTTCATTTAGAGACTTTCAAGATGCCTCATTTAGAGACATTCGTGGCATCTCAAAAAGTAGTCTTTGGTTTGAGATGATATCCAACAGGTTCTCATTTATATTAAATGGAGTTTAGGAATAAGAAGAGAAACGAGAATATTTTTTTGTTCTTCCTTGTCACAAGTACAAGGAGAAAAGGATTAAGAAAAGTCGACGTTAATAAGACGATAATGATGCATATTGAGTTATACAGTTATCCTGAGTTCATTCAGGACCTTCATCTGTGATGTTAGGCATTCCAAACTTAATCAATTATTTTTTGATTAATTTAATCAATAGATTTTTAATTAATAATTAACTAGATTAGTTAATTAATATTTAAAATTAATTTTAATATTTTAATTGAATTCAAATTGAATTATCCGCTGAAATTTTGAGGAAATTTCAGCAACCTCCCGACGTCACCTCCCCACCGAGGGAGAAATCGGGGCGGCAATTGCCGAAATTTCTTCCTATCCGGACCTAAGGTCAATGGCGTAGGGCTTTCGAATTTAAACCATCCCACCAAGATCTAAATCGACTGCATGGGGTCTTCAAATTTTGTTTCATCCCGCCCAGATCTAAGATCAAGGACTCAAGGGCTTCGAATTTAAAACCATCCGCCCAGATCTGAGATCACGGCGCGAGTCTTCGAATTGTAAAATCATCTGCCCAAATCTAAGATCGATGGTGCGGGTCTTCAAAATTTAAAACCATCTCGGCCAGACTCAAAGTCGACGGCACGAGGTCTTCGACACTTGTTTGGAATTCAATCTTATCTTCTTTTATATTTTATATAGATATATTTTTACTTTTTATATTTTATATAAATATATTTTTAAATATAATATCATATTATCTTTAATTATATTTATATATAACAATTATATAATATATATTATACTATAATATATAACAATTATATCATTATATATTATATATAATATAAGAGAGAGGCTCTTATATTATATATAATATAAGAGAGAGGGAGAAAGGAGCACAGTCGGACAGCCATTAAGGAGTTGAATGAGCAACTCGTGCAATCTCTATTTCTCCTACAAAGGAGAAGTCGGACAGCAAGGAGGGAGCCGCACGAAGCGAAGTCGAACGGAAAACGAAGGAACCGGAGGGGGGACGCGTGAAATCTCTATACCTCTTGTGAAGGAATGAAGTCGGATGGCACCGAAGGAGCTGAAGAGCGAAGTCAAAAGGCGATGGGGAGTAGGAGAAGCGGCGTGTGCAATCTCTTTGCCTCTTGCGAAGCAAGGAGACCGAACAGCAACGACGAAGAGAGAAGATGAAGGGTGAACCCTAGACGCTGCGAAGCAAGAAGTCGAACAACAACGTCAAAATCGGGGGAGCAAAGCGAACGAGTGTGTGTATGTCCTCCTTCTGAACTCCTTCGTTTCTTTTATTTGTTTCCTTTGTCGAATGATAGTTACCAGAACGAAACAGTGTGTCTTTCGATGAAGTGGGGCCGCCCGTGTGTCTTTCGATGAAGTGGGGCCGGCGGAGACAACGAAGAGATAATTTGGTTTCGATTGATTTTTTTTTTTTTGTTCTGCTATTGCTTCTTCTTATTTTTTATTTAGTCAATAACTAGTAATCAAGTCAATGCTAATATAAAAAATAATTCTTCTTCACACCTACATTTTCCAACTTGTTCACTCATAATAATTGAGATGAGCCAACTCATAATTGTCTAATAGACTTCATGGACATCGCATCTGTAAAGACCATTTTGCTCCAAGGTTCGTCCGGACGAAGTTGGATCGTCCAGGACGATCGGTACAGGTTGTGCAGAAAAACATTTCTGGCTGCATGGTTCGTCTGGACGAAAATTCGTCCAGAGAGCAAGTCGTCCGGGACATTATTTAATTTCGTCTGGACGAAATTCGTCCAGAGCCCAAATCATCCCGGGACGAAGTTGCGATCGTCCGGGACGATCAGTCTGGATATATAGGAATGAGATATTTTTGGAAAGAAAAAGGACGTCCATGAGAGAGAAAAACGAAGGAAAAGAGGATTTTTGGGCGACTCCGGTCCGTTTTCGTTCGTTGCTGTAGTTAGAGAAGTTGACCGACTCGAGGTAAGGCACATTCCGCCTTTCTCAATTTTCAGAAACGAGATTTTTGACGCATTTTCTGTTCCGGATTTTGTTTCCGTTAGCAAATTTCTGGTATTATTTTCTTCTGACAAAGGTTTTACCGCGTAACTTTTGGTATGTCTCTGAGATGATAATTATGCACGTTTTGAGCATTTTCTGGAAGATTTTTACCGGATATTTTGGATTCTGCGGTGTTTTAATTGAACTGCAAATTATCAGGATGTTGAAAAATATTTTGTCAGTACAATGAAAGTCTTATAATGTTGTTGTGAATGTTCTGTGGTAATTTGGTAAATTTCTGAATCTGTGAATTTTGTGTAAATTCCGTATACTGCCGTTATGCCGCTGAATTTTCGTACGATTTCTGAATTTCTGAAATGAGATGATTTGAATGAATTGATTATTTGTTTGCTATCAGAAGGGAGTTATAAGGGGCCGGAATCCTTTGTGATTCCGTTGTCTGGGTCCGGGAAGGGAGATATAAGGGGAAGTTCTGAAATCTGAAATTTTGTATATCTGTTCTGTTCTGGTGCTATAAGCACAAAAGGGAGCCATAAGGGGAAGTTCTGGTGCTATAAGCACAAGGGAGATATAAGGGAAAGTTCTGACATCTGGAAGGAAGTTCTGTTCTAAAATTATATGTTCTGTAAAGCTGTAATGTGATTATTTCTGCTATAACTTCTGTACGTTATTGGTTATTCTGTACGATCCTATCTGATTTGTGATTTGAAGCTTTATGATCTCTGATTTGAATTGGGATTTTGATATGACTTCAGTTTTTCGTATCCGATGTTTGATTTCTGATTGAGCTATTATTTGTTCTGTCTGTTATATGATTTCTGTACGATTGTTCGAATTCTATACGGATACTTTTCTGATACATTTTCTGATGTGAGTTTCTGATGATTTTGATTGGTGATTGATGTCTTGCTGAGCTGTTAGCTCATCCTTGTTTTCTGCGTGTTTTTCAGGTTCTGGGAAAGGGAAAGAGGTCTTGGACTAGACGTTCTGAGTCTGATCTGTGATTAGGTACTTGATACTTTTGATTTTTGTACAGTCATGACTTTTCTGTTCTGTTCTGTTCTTTCTGTCCGAAGCCATGCACTGTATCTGTATATGTTTATTTTGAGGAAAGAAAAGATAGATGAACTGTTCTGCATTCGGATGTTTATAGTAGCTCTGTGTTTTTCTGTCTATTTAATACTTGGAAGATAGTTCTGAAGCAAATTCCAAAGCCAGATCCTGGATTTTCAATGGTTGTGTCGCGGCCCGCTGCGAGCGGGATCCGTCCCGGTCGGGTTGGGTCGTGACAGCATCTTACTCCCCTCTTATATTTGTAGATTGGATCCTTTGATATATAAAAATGATGGAATTTTGAGATCTTGATTGAATTTATATATCTCTAGCCCAACTATTCTCCTTTAATTTAATTCAAAGCTAAATACTAAATCTAATGTCAAAAGTATAAAAATGCCATGATAGAAAGTGTAACTAGCTATGGAGGCATGCAAATATTGAAAATCTAAACCCCATATCTAAATAAATCCGTACACAACATTCTAATCCATCTCAAGGAAAACTACCATGAGAGAATTACTGACTTTTGTGATTTGAATTCATGAATTCTAGGTCATTTATAGATGCAACTCAATCATTACATCCAAGCATCCAAACTTTATTGGGTACACTAAGAGCAACAATTAGTATACCCTATTGAAATCAATAAGGCATGAGTTCAAATAGGTAAAAATAACTTTTATGATTTGTAGGATAAAGGCACATTATAATCCCCATCCAAACTGAAGCAAAAACTGTATGAGTAAAAAAATTATCATTATTCTCCCATGAGAAGGTCTAATTCAGGACATGCCATTGACTCATCCCTTGCGCGCTCACAAATAGCTCACGTAAAAAAAGTCATATGGCATAAGTGGTTTCGGTTGTTTCAAATTAATAAAGGAGTTTATTTGAAGGCAATATATGTTACTTCTTTTCCAATTAGCTTCACTTATTTGTATCAGATTTTGATGAGCTAATGTGAACTTACGTTGGGCAATTGATAGATGATGCACACATGAATCTTTCAGATAAAGTAACCAAACATAAAAATATTTATATAGTAATATAATCACTTCATGAAAGAAAGGCCCTTGCATACTGCAAACAGAGCCGAACAAATATGTAGTGTAAGAATTAGTCCTTCCATCTTAAGAATAATTTGAAGAAAAAAAAAATGTAATACAAGGCAGAATGATTAGCATGTTTGTTATGTCAAATTTTGCTAAATTTATATCATCTTGCCACGGAAACATATTAATATATACAACTTGATTAGTTAAAGTATAAATGTAAATAAGATCATAATGAGAAAAGAAGATACCCATAATTGTTCAGGATTTGTATCCTCCTCACGATGAAAAACTGGTGGGAAATCAAACCTATTGAATCTGAACGATATATGAAAGAGATTGAAATAAACTGAATAAGTATCATGCATACGTTCAGGAAAACAAAATAAACAAACTCCAGGTACATACATCAGGTGATCTATATTGGGATAGAGGAAACGCAATTCAATAGGAAATCGGAAACGATAAGGATCTCTTTTAGCCTGCATAGAAATGAATAGATATTGCAGCATTGAATCAAAGAAATTAGAACACTAATATTCACAGAATTAGGAAAGAGCTAGAACGATGGAAACGTGAGAGAGCCAGAATAACAGGGAATCTTCTATTATATTTTTGCAGATAAACACTTTTTCAGAGCAAACTTGACTAAGTATTCGAATTTCCTTAAATTAAGTAAGATAGCGAGTAGAGCTTCGTATTTTATATTTCAATCAAAAACTTTATTTCTTAAAAAGAATTCATTCTTTAACCCTCAATAGGATACTTCTAACACTTTCCATCCAAAGGCCAAACAGAATTTTAACAAAAAAATGATTTATGGATGGAAAACCATAATTACTGTGATTGTTTCAATTCATCCAATTGAGGAAGAATTAAGTGCAAAGAAAGTAACAAACTAAATGCAGGTGAGACTTGTTTTCAAGAAAATGCCTTATTTATGACAGCATTATAGTAAATTGGTCAAAACTAGTTATACCGAAGTAATCACTCACCAGTACTTCCACAAAGACATGCATGCCAACTTTTATATGGTGCCGAATCCAATACCAATCGTTTCCCTTTATTGGAACCCAACTAAATTATAAAGAGAACAGCCATAAGAAGCAGGTAAATCCATTAAAAAAAGAAATTAAGCCTACGCAAGCAAAATAATAGAAAGAGTTAAATAAAATTTCAACTTATCATAAACTACGGTGCATGACAGCATCAAATAAGAGGCTTAGAAATATTGATTGTGATTGCCGTAACTTTCATAAAAATCCTTAAACTTCTAAGCAAATAATTCTAAAAAGTCAATTTTAGTTTGTAGTCAAAGTTAAACCAATACAGATATTATGCTAGCTGATCAATTTTTTTAGTACTATTGCATGTAATTTTTTTGCATATTAAAAAATATCAAACCAGTAAGGTGCAAACATGGCTCAAGAGCAGAAAATAGACTTGCGCTTCAGTGAAGCATTCTGTTTTCCCAAGATAAGGCAACATGCAGGATACAGTAAAAATGGCATGACTTACGCCCTGGCAGATCAGAATTAACATCAGCAAATGTTCTTAGAAACAAGCATCCGCATTAAAACTAGTAATTAATAACTTGATGCCAAATCAACAATTATTTCAGATTGGGCAACCAAACCCCGCATTGAACCAATTTTAAAATAAAGATGATTACAGAATGATCTAGATAATGATAATCAGCCATAGTTATCCTATGTTAATCACATTATATTAATAAGCTGGACAAGCGAACGTATTACCTAATATATTTAAGTAAACATCATTTTAGAGTTTAGATAAAGCAAACAAGGGCATTCAATTGAAATTAAACAAAGTGATAATAGATGTCCAGCAAAGAACTGTAGAAGGAATAAGATGGAGAATTAAACGAATTCGCCAAATCTTTGATGGTGCAATCGTCAAAAATATCATGACCATTTATAGTGCACTTATGTTTGTGAACATACCCATCATGAACGCATCCGATGTCCACAAATGCTCCCTGGTGAAGGTGTAATGTTATCACTTTGCCTCTACAGATCTGCATAATATTAGAAAGGAGAGAAAATAATAAAGGACCATCTTTACTTAATTATCATCTAGTTCAATCATATATGAAAGAGAACCATCAAGGAAGATACAATAAGAAGAATACCCTCAATAATGAAAAATTAGTATAATAATAATTAAAATAAATTTCTACTATAAATAACTAGCACATGTGATAATTTAGATATGAGAAAAGGATCAAAATGACCCCTAGACTTTTTATTAAAGACCAAAATGTTCTATAAATATATTAAAGAATTATTTTGGTCACTCAACTCCTTAAAAGGAACCAAAATAGTCTCACTATGACACTATTTTGATTCTTCTTTAAAGACTTCAGGAACCAAAATAATTCTTTAATATATTTACGAATCATTTGGTCATTCATAAAGAGTAAATGAACCATTTTGGTCCTTTTTTCATTTAGATGTGATAACACTCCTACGCAAACTCAATGGGGCATAATAGATGTTAGCATTATGTTAGACCAATCCAGCCGGTCCATATGGGACCAGCTTACGGGCAACAGAGGCGGAGAAGTTTCGCCTCCTGTACATGTCGATCAAATTGCCCAGTCCAAAAGAGCATATTAGGAAGATTTTATGAGAAGTTTAGGAGGAAAATTTGAATGTAGTGACTGTTTAGAGATTTTCTTTTGGATTGTATGCATTAAATAGTTTGTTTTCCTAGGATTAGGGCATCAAGAATTTGGCTGAAATTTGAGATCTCTCTTAGGTTTTGGGCTCTAGCATCGTCTAGAGATTGGGAGAGTAGGATCTTCCTCTCCAATTGATGATCCACTTGTATCTTGTATTTTCTTTCATAAAACTTTCAATAAAAAAAGTGTTCTTGTGTGTTTTATTCCTATTTTTCTTGTTTTTGGTTTTCTGAAATTATTAAAATCAGATTTCATCCAAGGCTTTTCCTAAATTTCTACAAGCACTTCCTATCACATGAATTTGGATATAATAATGGCCAAATATAAAGTCATGGAAGATTTTGTTGCATAGACATTGAGAGGAGCACAATCGATTCATAAAATAGTGGACTCGATGAAAATAATAGTATGGAGGTACATATCTAAGAGGTGCATATAAGATTATTGAATAGAAAAAAAAAAAGTATGTTAATAGAGTATCATAAAAGAGTCCAAAGAGAGCATTGATAAAGTGACGAGAAAAGAGTTGCCACTGAAGAACAAAGTTATCAAGATCTGTGAGAAATAGAGGAGGCCCAATCCTTCAATGGTAGATATTAGAGACAAATAGGTCATAGTCAAAGTATATGAGTAGATCAATAGAGATTAGAAGTTCGAGGGGTGCAACATAGGAGAGAAAGTGTTCAAAGAAGATTGAGGCAATTACAAGCTACAACACTAATACAATATTAAAAGGGAGAGAGAATTATAACATGGGCAACCTAGCTCTTCTAAATGAGTGATTTCAGGTTAAACTTTTAGAAGGTAGATTGGATATTAGATAAGACACTCATAACATGGGCAACCTAGCTCTTCTAAATGAGTGATTTTGGATTAACGTTTAGAAAGTAGATTGGATAATAGATAAGACACTCCAGATATTTCACATCTTTGATGCACTGACACTTCATTTTAAGAGGGTATGCAGTGTCGGACACGTGTCGGACACAGACACGCGTCTGACACGGCGAGGACACATGTTGGACACATCATTAGTGTGTCCCATTTAAAAAAAAAATAAACCGGACACGCGTGTATAATTAAATAAATAAATAAATAAACCTAATCCCACTATTTCATATTAGCCGGTTCACGCCCGAGTCTTCATCTTCTCCTCAATCCCGTATTCCTATTCGTATTCATGGTTTTCCCAAGCAATTGAGGCGAGCAGCGGTCGGCTGAAGATCGCAACCTTGGTCTTCCCTTACGGCTGTAAGCAACAGCCAACAAGCCATCCTCCTTAGTTTCTGGGCGTAGCTGAGGGAAGTCGACGTTAAATCGCAGAAAAGTTTTCAGACCTGTAAGTTGATTTCGTCATTTTTTTCTCTATTCGTCATTTCTCTTCATTTATCAATGATTCTGTAGATTTGTGATCAGAAGAGCATATTTTTTTAAAGTATTTTATTTTTTTTGGATTAAAATTATTCTTACAATAAAAATTTGTTTATTTAATGCGCTTTTGTTGTGCTTTAACTATGCTTTTGTTGCGCTTTAACTGCTCTTTTGTTGCACTTTAATTGCGCTTTAACTGCGCTTTCAATACGCTTTTGTTGTTCTTTCACTACACAGAAAATTTTTGTTCTGGGGGCGCTGCCCCTTGACTCCGCGACATGATCAGGCAGGTATAACCCCGCCAGCGGCAACGCCCCCTTGAACCTCCGGCATAGCTGCAAATTTTTAAGTATTTTTTTGTCAAATAGTCATAACATATGATGCAATAGTTCTTTAATTATTTTTTTAACTTTGTTTGACAATTTTTAATTGTTTTATAATATGTCACCCAATTTATTAAGCCTTTATTTCTTCTACAACACCAGTGAATTTTAAAGCAAAATGAGCTCTAATATTGGTGGGAGTGGTTCAAAAGAGCCATCTGTAGAAATTGATAAGCCATTATGGATTCATGTTACAAAGTTAGAAAAAAAAATTTGAAGGTGGAGGGAATGTGTCATTCAAATGCAATTATTGTGGTGGCACCTCTTATTCTAGGGTGAAAGCACATCTACTTAAGATTTTTGGCCATGGAATTAAAATGTGTCCTAAGATTACTACATCACAGTTGATTGAATTGAACAGACAAGTTAATGAAGCTGAATCTAGGATCAAAAGAGCACTTCCTAAAGAGATATCTTTGTCATCTACCCATGGTTTATCCCACACTTCTTCCTCATATGTTAGAGTTGATCAATCATTATCATATAGAAGTGAACGATATGATTTAAAGAAAAGAAAAGGAGTTGCCAGTAGTGTTTTAGAGAAGACTTTTAACATGCAGCAACGAGAGGAATTGGGTGGTGAAATTGCAAAAATGTTTTTTTTAGTTGGACTTTCTTTCAACCTTACAAGAAATCCTCATTACCAAAATGCATTCACTTTTACATGTAATAACAACCTTGCAGGTTATGTTCCACATGTCTACAATGCATTAAGATCAAAATTATTGGAAAGAGAAAGAGCACGTATTGAAATATTGCTTGAACCAACAAAAGGTGTGTGGAAAGAAAAAAGAGTCACTTTGATGTGTGATGGTTGAACTGATCCTCAAAGAAGACCACTTATTAATTTCATGGCCGTTACAGAGAATTGCTCAATGTTTATTAAAGCTGTGAATTGTGAATGATAATGCAATGATAAATATTTCATTGTCAATTTGATTAAAAAGGTGATAGTCATTATTGGGCCTTCAAATATTGTACAGGTTATAACAGATAATGCACCGGTGTGTAGAGCTGCAGGATTGTTGGTGGAGCAAACTTATCATTATATATTCTAGACTCTATGTGTTGTGCACATTTTAAATCTTGCTCTAAAAAATATTTGTGCAGCAAAGAATACAGAGGCAAATAAAATCATATATGTTGAATGTCATTAAATAACAGTGGTTGCAGATGATGCTGTTTTGATCAGAAATTTCATTATGAACCACTCAATGAGACTTTCAATATTTAATAATTTCTCACATTTGAGAATATTAGCTGTTGCTGAAACTCGTTTTGCCTCTGTAATAATCATGTTGAGAAGATTTAAACAAATAAAAAATGCTCTTCAATCTATGGTTTCACCTTGAGATTTGTGTCTAATCAAGTTTTTGGAGCATTATCTATATCATTTTTGAGGATAGGTGAACCAAAAGCAACACACTTCTGCATTGTTTGGCCCATTCATTAAATCCAAGGCACATTTGTATTCATCTTTTAAATTAATTTTAAATTTCTTGGTAAATGATTAAATAATTTTATATGATTTGTATTATTTGAAGGTATTCAAGTAAAGAATGGCTTCAAGAAGACCCTCAATGTGTCTCACCACAAAAAGATTTAGAAGTGTCAAATATGAAAAAGATATATTTGAAACGATATTTTCCAAATGAGGAAGAGAGGAGAAAAATTAATATAGAACTTGCAAAAATATTTGGATATTTAGAGGATTTTGGTGATCAAGAATCTTTGATTGATAGATAGAGGATGGATAAAAAAGTGTGGTTGTTGATTCATGGAGCTTCAGTACTGCTTCTTTAAACCATAGCAATAAAACTTCTTGGTCAAGTATTATTCTCTTCCTGTTGTGAGAAAAATTGGAGCACATACTTATTTATTCAATCAATGAAGATGAATAAAATAACTCCATAACACGCTGAAGATTTAGTTTATGTGCATACAAATCTTCGTCTTCTATCAAGGATAATCCCACTTTATATGACAGGTGATAACAAGATGTGGGATGTTGTTGGAGATGGGTTCGAGTGCCATGATGATATGAGATTATTGGATGTTGCAAATCTTTCTCTGGATGAACCAGAGTTGGAAGCAATGATATTCAATGATGATGATATTGAAGGCCAAAGACCAACCTCTGAATCTAATTCTATCATTCTACCTATTGAGTGGTTGAACTTTCATGTTGTACCAAATGATTTTTTGCTTATATTTTTGTAGTTGAACTAGACATTTTGTACTAAACATCTTTATGTTATAAGCTAAACAAGTTATCATGACTTTGATTTATTATTGCTTGCCATTTTTAATATAATGTTACCTTAATTTATATATATTATATAAAAAAATTATTATGCAGTGTCCACGCCGCACCCGTGTCCTATATTTTAAAAAATGTCATGTCCCGTGTGCGTGTCGTGTCGTGTCATGTCCGTGTCGTTGTGTCTGTATCGCCGTGTCCGTGTCGGTGCATCATAATTTCACATCCTTTGTTTGAAGATTTTGTGATCTAGTTTGAGATTTCCAACAGTCGCAAACTCTTATAGTTAATTAACTATCTTGATAAAAAATGAGAGCTTTTGATTAATGCTAGTTGGTACATTCTAAATATTTAATTTATATCAGTAGTAATTTAGTTTTAGAACGAGAAAATAAACTTCAATTAGTTTAGAGCGAATGGTGCGGGTGTATTGTGACAAACCCAATCAAGATTCTATGATTCTATCGTCATTGGCAATCGAAAACCCAAGTCTAATTAACCAACGAAAGTAATTGAACCAATCTGAGTAAATAATCCTAGTCAACAATCATGAATTGTATCGTCAAGAAGACCTCATAGACCTAGGATGAATATTTGCATAAATGATCAACTCTAAGTCGACCCTAGCAAACAGAGAGATTCATACTCTCTCAGGTGCACTTTATGATTCACTACTCATGGTATAAGCCATTGGAGAACATACGAGCTTTAATCGTAATCATAATATAATTATATCATTTGACGGTGAAGCACTCTATTAGAAGACATATGCCACGTCCTTGGTGGAGTGAAATTTTTTAGAGTGATCATATGGATTCAGTTGATAAGACAATTCTTTTTGAGCTTTGATCATACTTAATTTTGACATCCATGGCTAGCATGAATAATGGATGAATTGGATTTTTTATTACTCTAATAAGCCTGTAACAATTATAGCTTGAACATTTTCAAATTTTGAATTTTTTTTTGTATTGATATGGAGATTTAAACTTAGGGTGGAATTCCCTTCGATATGTTATCACTTGAATAGGTCCTCATCAAGATTAGAAGCCTAAAGTAGTTTACTTTGAAATTTGAGGGTAGATTGATAATAGGATCCCAAATGGTTGAGATTTATAGTCAATACGGCATTATCGATGTAAAACATATTTAACCTTGTGGTTTGAAATAATGATTTTGATAGTAAACTCTTCAGGTTATAATGTGCAATAGACATTCCAATCATTGGGGTATTTAAATAATCAATTTTAATTGATTGGAACATTGTCTACTCTTTCCACAGACTTAAAATATTTGGCTATAGGTATGAGTTTAAATATCATTTGAATTCATTGTGTTATAGACCTTGCCAAATCCACCTGCATATAAAGGGTTGAGTCTTAGAATTGCAATTACAACCTGCCATTGTAAGCAAAGCAACCATGGGTTTCTTTTTGATGCGAATTTTCCTAATAAGAGATTTTGAAGGCCTTATGCAAAATAGCAAGAGTAAAACTAAATATCACAAGCAATGTTTGAGATTAGGAATTGGATTATCGGTCTGTGATGCTGGTTAGATTGCTTTATTAGACTGAAAATAAAAATTAGAAATCATTTTTTAATCATGGTTGATTTGAATTAACAACGTAAAAACAAGTCATGGGCTTAAGTTCTCAACTTAAGTGCTTGAGACATCATTGAGATAAGACGGATCTAACTTGAGCTCGAGCTAAGCTTACAGTAATAATGGCCAGCTTGCAAGCCAGTTTGTAAGCTCGAGCTAGGCTTACAGTAATAATGGCCAGCTTGCAAGCCAGTTTGTCAGTTTAAATATGATAGATAATACATAAACATAACATATCATAATAATAAATAATCCAAGGATGACCATGTAACAACATTGTTTCCAAGGTTTTGAAAGCGACTTAAAACTACAAACAATAATGATGAACATCTCGAACAATTTCCGCATCAAGAAGTTCATTAATATTAAAGCAAGGGAGTTACCTGTCCAGGATATATGTAAGGAAGCTCTAACTGCACAAAAAAATCAGTTCAAATCAACAATGTCAAAAAGGAGTTAACTAAAAAGCCAACTACGCAGGAAAACATAGAAGAAATGAATATTGCATAACATACCATGTCATCTTTGTAGTCTTTGCCTCGTTTCCTTCGACCTGGATAGTAATCTTGGTCAAACTGAAGTAAAAACAAAGCATTTAAATTATTCATTGTACGATAACTAAATCAAGTGATCAGAAATTGGGAACTGTCTGAGTTTTCATTCTATTATAAATCAATGAAGTGAGCTAATTTTGGGAACTTTTTGAGAAAGTCCTCATTTCAGTTGATAACTCATCACTTATACCAGATCGAGATAAAACAACTTAAGACTAGTCAATAGCATATTTTTGAATAGATGTTTACAATTAAAAAGGATAAAATAAGGTATTTTTTTCCTTGTCTTCACATATGTTATACATATAGGAAAGATAAACATTGTCAAAGACTAAATCAGAAAAATGAAATTCCCAGAGACTAAAACATTTTTGATGACTCAAATCAAAAATACAATTCACTATTTCTTGCTCCTAATTACCATAGCTTCTTTCTTTATCTACAAAAAGAAAAGAGGAAAACAAAAGGAAAAGCAAAATTATTTTGATGAAGTAGCATGCGATCGAGTCCTTTCACACAGAAAATTAAGTGAACTTAAGTTTGTGACTTACGAGTATTTAAGATACATATGGAAATGGAGAAAAAGGTGTGTCGGGAGGATGATAATAGAAACCTATCAAGAAAATGTAAGAGGCATTATACTGATTTCCTTTCCATAGGGTGTCAAGAAAAGTTTTGGACACCAGTTGGGGTATGAAATTATGAGCAATAATTCTCTTATCTCTTTGTAGAATGAGATAATAATACTAAATAAGTAATTAATTTGTTTTTTTAAGAAGAAATTGCAGATAGGATTTGGAGAAGCAACAAAAACAAGAGAATTGCACGCTCAATTTTTTAGGAATATTTTCAAGATTAGTAGAATTCAAATTGGATGGTTGAAATGAAGGAATGCATCGGGCATGCAATGCTTTAGGGAGCGGAATGTTGGCCATTAAAAGAGAAGCATACAATTAAGTTACATATTGCAGAGATGAGGATGCTTAGGTGGATAAGTGACTTTACTCTTAGAGATAGTATGCAAAACGAACATATAAATGAAAAAGTTGGAGTAGCTCCAATGACATAAGATTTAGAGAGAAACGTCTTAGATGGTTTGGTTACATAAAACGTCGACCTTCTGATGACCCGATTAGTAGATGTTTTAGATTTGGCCTATGTAATGAAAGGTAGAGGTAGATATAAAAAGACTTGGTTAGAAAACATTATAAATGATATTTAATTATTAAATTTAAATAAGAATTTGACTCTTAACAAGACATAATTGAAAAAACAAACATTCATGTAGTCTACCCCACGTAGTGGGATAAAGGAATGAAGATGTTGTTGTTGTTGCTGCTGCTTATTTATGCACCCTCTTGATTCCCTAATTGAATTTCTTAATAGATTGAGGACCAGATAGAAAGGAAATCGCCTCTATTTATTTGTAAAATGTCACATGCACAGACTACCAGCTTTAAGTACCCACTTACACATAATTTGTACAAAATAAGGATTTGAAATGGATTCCATGACAAATTTGCATTGCAGTTACATATGCTTTTTAAGAGAAACAACTAGACCTACGAAGCACATGCAATACCTTACAAGAGTCAATATCTTTCATTGAAGTGTCTAGAAAAGGTGGGAACACAAGTAAAAGTGGTGCAACCATTTAAATATACCATCCTTATAAAAAAGAGATGGAGAGTTGAACCGCTTAAGCACATGAAGAACTCATCAACTCACTCGAAAATACTGACCAAAAGTACTTATCAACCAATGAGTTTTCTCATAAAGAACTCGTTTGGATTAGTCCAGAGAACTAGCTCGACTTCCAGCTTGTCTTGTCTGCCACATAGACAGCTATAGTGGGTTCAATTCACTATTTTCTGTGTGATTATGATAAGTTGTTGATTCTCTAGCGCAAACCGTGGTCTCTAACTGTAAATGGAGGGTCAATGGTCAAGCGTGGGCATAGGAAAGCACCAATAAAATATCCCTCTTTCTCTAAATTTGAATACCCCAATTCAGTCTAATTTGTCCAATTCAGTCTAAATTTGATTACACCAATTCAGTCTAATCTGCCCATCTTTGAAATAGTGAAATTCAATAACAAACTTTCAGCGGACAGTAACTGTACAAGAAATTTTTTTTTTATGGGACATTTAGGCCATTTAAGGCAAACTCACACACACAACGCATACACAAAGACTCGAATCTTGGACCTCTTAGTTGGAAGCCTAAGCTCTCAACCAATAGGCCAAGGAGAGTTGTGTACTGTACAAGAACTTAATAAAAAATTCAAAATTGAAGTTTGTACGGCTCTAATAAACAATTTTCAGGAAATTAGCGCATCTTGCAAATAGTAAAAAAAAAGGGAAATTAGTATACCTTGTAGGATTCTCCCTCCAACCTCTCCCTATTAGCAGCCACCCACTCCTTATACTGCTTCAAAAAAACCTTATACCTCTCCACACACATGGAATCAACATCAGTCCTAATCTCTTCCTCCAAATATACCCTCTCAGCCTCCAACTTATGTGCGCCACGAATAAACTCCAGTTCCTCGGCATCCACCTCCCAGTCCCTCGGCGGCCAATCCCTAGGCGGCACCGCCCGCACAGCCACTACACCCCCGGCCCAGGTCGTCTCAATAAGTTCAGGAATTTCCCCCTTGACAGCGAACTGCTGTGCTAGCAACTCCTCCTCGGAGAGCCCACTCTCCTCCATCCTCTTACGTCGATAGGATGGTTTAAGCATCTTGAAGGCCTCGATGGCCTCGGGAGTGCGAAGAGGGACTTCTTCCCCTTCGTTGAGGCTCTTGCGAGCGAAGTCAGCCTCGGGAGTGAGGATCTCTTCCCACGGTGCCCAACCACGCTCGATCCAGTTGCGGCGGCGAGCTTCTTCCTCGGATTCTTTTTCCTTGGGTGCGTACTTCTTGAGAAAATCCTCGTCGATGGGGACTTCATTGGTAGAGTAGGAGGAGGAAGAAGAAGAAAAGGGAATGGAAGGGACGGAGCGGGAGGCGCCCGGGGCTTTGAATCTGTGGAGAGGATGACGAGTAGGAGACGGGAGAGTGGGAGATAGGACGCAGGAGCGCATTTTGGTTGGATTTGTTTGTTTCTCAAGTGCTGCAAGGAGTACTTAACTCTAAAAAGAATAAGGGCATCTCCAACCGAAACTCTCCAATTTTATTTTTTTTTTTTGCAGTAAAATAAAAAAATGTCGTGATTCATCCAATGGAATGTTATTTTGTCCCCTAGCCATGACTTGTTTCTTTCGCGTCATTCTTAGGCAAGTTTGGTAGAGAGAAAAGAATGGCGCAAGTGAACAGTGTGACGCCAATAATGACGTCACACTGTTCAACTGCGATCAAATGGCAGAGTAAATGGCGTTCGATTGCTACGTTTGAGGGCCTACATTCAGTTGTTTGCCGAAAGGTTGGAGATGTTTTAATGGCCAAATTTTATAAAAAGCAATATAATAACCAAAATTAGTAGAATGAGCGTAGATTAAAAAAAATTTAATTACGAGCAAATACATTAAATTAAATGACGTATTATAGAATATGTCATTTATTTGGTGCACTTAGAATACGTAATTTAATTTGATGTATTCCTATCATCAATACAGAGAGAGGGGGGAGAGAGAGATGAGAGAAAGGAATAGAGAGATAACAATGAAGAGAGAGAAGGAGAGAGGAGATGGCAGCCTAGAAAAAGAGAAGGGGAGAGAGAGAGGAGAGAGAAAAATTAAATATTTAATTTATAATAATTTATAAGTTTTTGGTTTCTGTTTTTAAAATAAATATAATTGTTGCGTCATGGAGTATTAGCGGCGGTAGAGAAATATAAAGTTTAACGTCTCAGCATTTTACGAAGATCCAGTACGCAATTAGATAAGAGAGAATGTGCGTAGCATTTATGAGACACCAAGATTTTTACATAGAAAACCCCTAAAAAGGGGGAAAAAGCATGGGGCCTAACACAATTTAAATGAATCCACTAGTATTGTAGTTGATTACAAATCAGGCCCTTCCTTAGGAGAAGGCCTTAGCTTGATGTATATCTTATAGAGTATATTACATGATAAGAATACAAAGAATCACTACTGATGCGTTCATTTGGTCTGAAGGACTGTAGTCGGCGGGCGACGTAAGTCGGAATGACCATAGTCGACGGGCGACAGAGGTCGAAAGGATAGTAGTAGGTGAGCGATGTAGGTCAGAAAGATCGTTGTCAAACGATGAAGGTCAAAAGCATGGCGTCGGGTAGAAACTTGGCGAAAAGCAGAGGTCCGTCGTCGAGTAGAAGTCCGACGTCAGTTGGCGGTCGAGGAAAACTCTGGCGTTATATGGTATTCGGGCAAAACTCTGGCGTCATTTGGAGTTCGGGTGAAACTCTGGCGTAACTTAGAGGTCGGGCAAAATTCCGACGTCACTTGAAGATCAGGCGGAATTCTGACGTCACTTGGAGGTCAGGCGGAATTACGGCGTCACTTGGAGATCGGGTGGAATTTCAACGTCGCTTGGGCAGAATTCCATCATCTCGTGGAAGTTAGGCAGAATTATGGCATCACTTGGGCAGAATTCCGGCATCTAGTGGAAGTTGGGCGGAATTCCGGCGGCGGTGGTCGAGGAGTTTCTTCCTTCATATCCTTCTTCTCTTCTCTTCACCTCCTCTTATTCTTCTGGCTTGAGTCTGGGCTCTTCTTACTTGGGCCCCCTCTCAAGAGAAATGAGAGGTTTATTTATAGATTTCTGGAGCCGCATGGCCTGTAAATAGATGAGAGATCAGGGGCGAATCAGGAGTGGTTTGAATGGACGGTTGATATTGAATCCCTTGATCGTGCACCGTTAGTCAGACATTTGAAAGTCTTCAAGATATCAGAATTTGACGATCTTGGGCTCGTTATATTCGTCTAGTCTGGCCACTCGATTCGACTATAAGAACATCATATTTAGAAATCGTTTGGTAACTCAAATCGTGGTTCAAACTTTCCAATAGTACTTCGAGTCCTTGATTTGGACTCATTTGGGCTCGAATTGAGTCAAATTTGGCGTTGTTGGGTTCTTATGTCTGAGACGCTCAGTTTGACCTATAAGTTTGCTGAAATTGGAGTTGAGACGGTCTCCGAATTAATTTTTGAAGTTTCCAACTTGATTTTGCCTCGAGATTTGTGCCCGGTCAATACAATTTTTGGATGATATATCAGTTGCCCCATATTTTCGGACGTCGTAGCTCCAGAAAGTCCGAAAATGTATGTGTCGACATTTTTGCATTGGCCGAATCGCAAAAATTTGCATTCCAAAAAATGTAAACTTACTCAAACTCAATCATAGAGGGCTCGTTGAGCTTCAAAAGTATCAAAATTGAGTCCGGAACGTCAAAAAATGTGTTTTGAGGACCCAAAAAATGTCCGATTTGGACCGTCAGGGCCGAGAATCGGGCTGATACAAGGGTAGGCGGCTAAATTGGCTGGCCGGCCGGCCGACCGCCTCTCGCCGCTAGCCACCGGCGGCGGCACGCGCGGCCGGCCGACCGCCTCTCGCCGCTAGCCACCGGTGGCGGCACGCGCGTCGCGCGTGAAAGTCTGAGACCCGCACGGTTCTGCAGCAGTTAGCCGCGCTGTTAACCGTGGTTTGAATTTTTTTTTTTAATTGGTGGGGCCTACGTAGATTTTTTTTATTCTGAAAAAATCCCAAAAAAATCCAGAAAATTTTGAAAAAATCAGAAAAATTTGAAAAACTTCATAAATATTTTAAAAAATTCTGGAATGTTCTTTCTTCTAAAAAAATTATAAATACCCCCCAAGGCCGGGGGGAAACTTGCACCTTTTTCTTTTCTCCCTCTAACTTTCTTACAGTCGAGGCATTCCACTGTTTTTTAGTACGTGACTTTCCCTACTTAAATCGGCACCTCTCGCCTTGTGTAGAAGTTGAAATTTCTCCTTCTTTTTCTTCTTGGTGTAGAAGTCTTCCTGCTTTTTCTTCTTCTTATTTTTCACTATGCACCATAAAGCATTGCAGGTCTAACCACTATATTATAGAATTTTCCCATAAGATTAAGATGGACTTTTTTTTTTATCAAACTACGAGCCTAATTCATTCCTCCAGTTCAATCATCCAAATTGAATTCCACTACTAATGTCCTCATCTATTTCATCGGAAAGCCATCGGCCGGTCATCGGAAGGCTGCCGTTTTATATGACTAAACCATCTAAGGTAACTCTATTTTGTATTTTATCTCTAAGAGTAAAGCCACTCGTCCACCTAAGCATTCTCATCTCTGCAGCACTTAATTTAATATTATGCTTCTCTTTTAATGGCTAACATTCTACAGCATAAAAGCATTGTAGGTCTAACCACAATTTTATAGAATTTTCCCTTAATTTTGAGGGGGACTTTTTTTATCACAAAACAAGCCCAATGCATTCCTCCACTGTAGTCATCCAACTTTAATTCTAAAAGTCACAATCCCCACTCAAATAAAAGCATTTAGACTTAAGGTTCACAGCAATTCAAGTTTACCTTCAACTCCCTCTCTAGTCTTATCAACGATAAGAATATCATAAGAAAATAGCATACATTAGGGAAAAACCTCTTGCAAATGTCTAGTGAGAACATCCATGAATGAAGGAAAAAAAGTTTTGAGTATTACCGTAAGAAATGGAAGCCGTCGTGAGAATCGGTACGGGCGAACGAAGATCGTCTCACCTTAACGACTGCGGAGGCCAAGAACGGTGGCGAATGGATGGCTTACGTCGGCAAGGCGTCGTCACAGTTAGACAGTGAACAGAGAACCGAACGAAAGCAAATGAGAAGGAACGGCCCGAAATGTGGAAATAGGGCTCTTTTCGGTGGACTTACTGACGGATATTACGCCGGACCTATTTCCGGCGTATTTTACACTTGTATATCAACGCACTGGCAAATTAACCGACATCATATACTACGGAAACTTACCAGCGTAATATACGCCAGAATATTTCCGTCGTAATATCTACCGGTTAAACCGTTGCTTTAAGCGACATATACAGATCCGCCGGAAATAAACTGTTTTCCTGTAGCGTAATGTTATGTAGTAGTTTGTATCTTGTTGTGTTATGTTTTGTTGCATACAATGATAATATATATTATAAAATATTTGAACCCAGTGGTGTCTTGGAAGAACTTTGATATTTTGCATTTTTTATAACTTTACTAGTTAATTGCTCTCGTTGACTTTCTATATTATATTATATATATGATGTCATCTATGATGAGTGGTCTATTTCTACCCCAATATAGGTCGATGTAAATTTGTTAGAAACTTGCAGCTCGCCACCAAAGTATAAAAACAATTGTGACATTCTACAAAATTTGTAAGATTGGTGAAGGAGCAAACAAAACAGCTGGACTATAAAAAAAATTGTCCTACTCATAGGATTGATAGCATTATGAATGATAGTGAGATATAATGATGGATTTATGTTTGTCTAAAGTACCTAATAGGAAGATTGTCAATTATAAACATAATTAAATCTATAGATAGTTATGGACTTAACTTTATAGTTGATAATTATTTTAAAAAATTACGTGATGCATTAGGAATAACAAATTATGTGTGTTGGAGTTATTCACATTACTACTTTCAATCAACACCTACTTTGATACATTCAAATCACCTCCAATTATAGTCTTTCAATTACTCTTTCTTGCTACTTTACATTTACCAACATATTCGAACTCTAATTGCACATGAGAAAATATTGACAGACAATTTATAACTCATAATTACGCATATCTTGGAAACACACTTATCTCTTGGTGTTTTAAGAAGCATTCTACTATCGCTTATTCCTCAACTGAAGCAAAATATCGTACTTTAACTTCAGTTGGAGCTGATCTTATATGGTTACATTATTTGTTAAGTGAATTCCAATTTCCCATTTCTTAATTGACATCCATATATTGCTATAGCATTTTCCACTCTTGCTTTAGTTAATTATCTAATCTTTTGTGCAAGGACGAACCACATTAAGGCGGATTATCATTTTATTAGAGATTGTATGAAGTCCAAAGAAATTATTGTTCATCATATTGCTTCACAGGATCAGCTAACGGATATATTTGTTAAAGTTCGTCTTGTACTTTGATTTTTTGCTCTTCTTTACAAGCTTACAATATCTCCAACACCACAAGCTTGTGGGCACTGGTAGAGGCAGGGTGGGGGCGCGTGCCCCCATTTGCCGGATGACTTTTATTTTGATAATTTTTCTTTTATATATATATATATATATAAGCCTAATAATTATTCATGCGTATCCCTCCACTGTCCTCCTCTCGGATGCATATCCTGCTGCTGTTCTTATCTCTGGCTTGAGTTCCCAAATTATTCGTCCTGCTAAGTAAACCCTGGCTTCTTTTGTGTGAGTGAGTTCTCTCTCTCTCTCACTCTCTGTCTCATGTTTAATGTTTAATGAGTGATCTACAATATCCTTTACCATCTATATCTATCTATATATGTAGCTTCATTTATAAGCGAGTTTTTTTTAGGGTTTAGTCCTATTTGTTTGCACAATTAAATTTCTTTAATTACCTATGTTCAAGAAATAAAATTCATTATACAAAATAATAATTTTAAGGGGGTTTTACATACATACCACTTTATTTTATGCTATTTACATATCTAACACCTAAAATATTAATATTACATGACTACCACCCATAAAACAAATTTGGGTGCATGGAATGAAATATTAAAGTTTATAGGATTATATGAATAATATAAATGAATTATAGGAGTGATATATTTGATATTAAAATTGTATATGGGTGGTAGACATGTAATATTAATGTTTTGGATGTTAGATATGTAAATAGCATAAAATAAAGTGGTATGTATGTAAATTTCCCTTAAATGTGGGTGAACAAACGACAAGCAAATTACATACTAACCTTTTTCAACGGTGAAGCTATTCACGCATGATTCTTAAAGCTGCAATCCTGAAGATGCTAGGAGAGAAGAGAATGCTGAAAAGAAGAGGATGAAAAATTGAATCGAGTGAGAGGCTTTTCATTTCCTGCAAAATTCAAATTTTTAGGATCGAACGGGCTAACAAGACTTAAAAATGCAAATGAATATTCACATTGTGCAATACACATGTCACAATTTCAGTGAAGCTCGTAATAAGCACAGAATAATTTCCCATACCCTTGATTCGAGTCAGGGGTGCAAACAAGTTGAGTCTTTATTGAACTCGAGCTCGTCTCACTGTAAACGAGCTCAAGTCAGCTTGGAAACTTTTAAATTTAAGTGAGATTTTTAAAAATTAGATTGAATTTTCAAAAGTTAAGCGGGATTTTAGAACTTTAGATAAAATTTAGAAAAAAATATGAAATGTTTAACATTTAAATAAGATTTAGGTAGTTTTATTAATTTTTTTAAATATTTAAATTTAATAAATAAAATAAAATTATTTTTAAAGTATTAACATTTATTTGAGCTTGCTCGCGAGCTCACGAGCCAAGCAGGCTCAAACTCGAACTCGAGTTCGAGTCCGACTCATGAGCTCGATAAGTTCAGCTTGCAACCTATAAACAAGTGGAGCTCGAGCAGGACGGAGCTCACTTAAGCCCCTAATTCTAGTCCTACGTATTTCATGCGTGATAAGTTCCTAAACAGCTTATTTTTTCCGCTAATAAGCTAATAAGCAGTTTGATGATCCTTCCTAATTCTTCTATCCATAATCCCAGTCAGCGACAAAGTGAGATCGGAGCGAAGAAATGGCGGCGACCATGCTCTCGTCTATGCTTGCAACCACACACTGCTTCCCATCGCAGAACCCTAATCGTGGAAGCGGAAACAGGAAGAGTTGCCGCTCCTCTTCTTCGCCTGCTTGCTTTTATCCCTCAACTGTTCGTTACCAGGATCGTTTTTCCGCCTTCAGGCCGTCTACATTCCCCTCCTTTTGCGCTATTCGCGGCCACCTTTACCGGATGGGAGCTCGAAGGTCGACAAGCCGCATCTTCCTCCCGCATCTTGTCGCCTCCATTGTTCGTTTTATTCTCCCACATTTTATTTGTCTTTATTACGATCCTTTTTGCACTATCTACAACTTTGAGCAAACGGATCTGTCAAACTCAAAGCCATCTGATTATTACCTTACTCCAAGAAATTAGCATCTTAAATTTGTGCCATTTTGAACGATGCACGTTTTAGCAACGCCATTCGCTCGTGATAATTTCCGTGGCTCATTTGATCAAATTTAGGAAAGGGGACAATTTGTCAACGCAATCTGATTCAAGCACATTCCTTTTAACTGTTTTAGGAAAATCCACTTTTTTAAGCGTTAATTTTAGAATCTTCTTGGTTTTCTTGTGGACAGGAAGAGGTTGAGGAGACTTATGTAATGGTTAAACCTGATGGTGTCCAGCGCGGCCTGGTATGCCACCTTTATTTATGGCTTTATTTGCAAAATATGTAAGATTCAATTGTTTATGGCCTTTGAGTGCGCTTAAAGTTTAATGCTATAGGTTGGAGATATTATTTCACGATTTGAGAAGAAAGGGTTTCTGCTGAAAGGCCTGAAGCTTTTCCAATGTCCCAAGGAACTGGCAGAGGTCAGCTCTTCCAAATTATGATTTCATACCCGTAGTTTTCTTAAATTATTTTGAGAATAGAGTGAGTTTGTTTGTTTCTTTTATTGAAAATTATAAAATCCTCGATTTAGTTTTGATAATGAAAGAAAAATTCAAAACATGACGATTTCTTAAAGATTTCAACACCACGATCTACACTCAATTTTAATGCAAAATTCAGTTCTTAAAAACCGACAATGCCCAAGAGTACTTTGAATAAGTTTTAGGAAATTATTTTCTATATCAAAAATACTTCGAATTGGTGTTGGACCAAAATTATTTCTTTTTGTTCCTTCAAAAGTCTTTGGATGTTCAATTTTCATTTACATTTACATTTATTCTCAGTATCCAAGTAAATTAGATCCTAAGTCTATCAAAGGCCATTTATATTGGATACTCCCCAAAATATAGAAAGTACGAATGTTACTGGTCAAGTACTAGAAAAAATTTCAAATCCATATATTTAACCTTCCTTGAATACCTGCCTTATTACTCTAAATCCAAATTTAAGAGGATAAAACTCAGGAACAAGAGTTTCAAAGTTGAAACTTATTTGATTATCCAGTATTCTTTCCATTCAAACACATAGACTATGAACATTCATCATGGCTCTTCATTCAACCTATTAAAACTTCACCAAAGTTATAAGCTCTCTCATCTGTCTTATCAAGTGATCCAACTCATGAAAGCCTCTCTAGAATCACAAACTCCATCATCATTTTGACAATGCACCGCAGAATGAGCTTGGCTTCTATATTGGGAGTCAAATGAAAAACCAAGAAGGGGAGTAATCAAAATATCCTTAGAGATAGGATACGAAATGAGCATATACGTGAAAAGGTTGGAGTAGCTCCAGTGGAAGATAAGATTAGAGAAAGTCGCCTTAGATGGTTTGGTCACATAAAACGATGACCTTTCGATGACCCGAATAGGATAGTAGAGGTATTAGATTTGATTTATGTTAAGAAAGGCAAAGGTAGACCTAAAAAGACTTGGTTAGAAAATATTAGAAATAATTTTTTCTTTATTAGATTTAAATGAGAATTTGACTTTTAACATGATACAATAGAGAAAAATGATTAATGTAGATGACCCTACGTAGTGGGACAAAGGTTTGATGTTGTTGTTGTTGTATTATTGACTGAATATCGGTGGCTATATAAGATAATAAAGGAAAATAATATTGAGGATAGAAATAGAATTACAATAACATATCTTTCTTAGCTGATACTTTCCTTTTAACTATTGGTGAATCAGGTTCAACCTTGAGCAGAGTGGTCATGCCCTTAATATATTATAGAAAGTTCTGAGAATTGGAGTTAAGGTTTTTTGTTATCAAAATCCTTAGTGTTAATTAAGACCAGGCTTTAAACATCTATGTAGTTTAAGGCCTGAAGCCTGCTAATAGGATCACTCTTCTGACATTCAACTTGGAGCTAAGGTTCTAGGTTGTCAAACTCCCAAGCTACTCAATGCTTCTTCACCAAATCCAATCCTTTATTTTTTAGTCTTTGGGAAGCACCTTGGATGAGGCAAACTGCCCTTTAATGAGGATGCTTCACGACACAATTATACTTAGTTGTTTTAAGCTGAATGTCATAGTTAGCTCCCAGACTCAATGCTCTGGTCAGAACAAGGTATTTGATCTCATGGCTGCAGTTGCAGCACTAAGCTTATTGATCTAAAGCTATGTTGTCATAGCTAAGGCTCCTTGATAACTAAGGATTGTTAATAGGGTGATTGTTAAGTTGGTATACTCAGGATGGTTGAATCATCTGAACTTGGTAGAGTTTATGATACGAAATAGAAAAACTTTTAATCAAATCAGTGAACCACAAGAGAAATTGAGAAGAAGAAAACACTACAAATCTTTTTAGTTTTAAAAAATATGAAAGAGATTAAACAAAATACAATAGATCTTCAATAAGAGAGGAAGATCCGGCTCTTCCAAATCTCTAACCGGTGGCTAGAGCTCTCACAACCTAAGGACAAACTAAATTCAACAAACACATAACATATCCTAAACTCTAGGGTAAATCAACTATTTAAAGAAAACAATAAAAAATAAAATACCAAAACAACCCTCTCCTAATTCCCTTCCAAATCAGCCCCAAATCTTCCATATTTGCTTTCCCTCCCAAATCATCCCTCAAATCAGCCCCCAAATATGTCTTCTTCAATTAGGAAACAATTCCTAATTAATCCCCTTCAAATCAGCCCTCTTTAATTACAAAATATCTTCTAATTAACCCCCTCCAAATCAGCCTCAAAATATGCCATCTTCAATTAGGGAACATCTTCTACTTAATTCCATCTAAATCAGCCCTCAAATCAGTCTCTTTCCCTTAATAAAGCCTTCCTAACTCCCTCCAAAATCTAATTCAAATCAGCTATCTTTCCCTAAATAAATTTTTATAATTTCTCCTATGATTTCACCTCCTTACATAGTGAATATTAACTCTCTTGGACCCCACAAGGTGAGCTCCCCTGGCATATCAGTTTACCACATCTATACCCAAACTCAAGGGACCTTTTTCTTAAAAATTGAACTTAAACATTCTTCTTAATTGAAAATGATTTCATTTAAGCGTGAGGATATATTAATTATGGATGCTTGAGCTTGATTCAACAACAACAACAACAACAACAACATCAAGCCTTTATCCCACTACGTGGGGTCGGCTACATGAATCCTTTTTCTCCATTGTGTCCTATTAAAAGCCAAATTCTCGTTTAAATCTAATAAAGAAAGGTCATTCCTAATATTTTCTAACCAAGTCTTTTTAGGCGCCGATAAAAACAGAAATCTTTACTTTCATTTAGGGTGCTAAGGTCACTCTAGTCAATCAACAACAAGGGAATTTTTTATTAAATATAGCACAATTGACCTCAAAAGTTTTTTATACTTAGTAGTTCTCAGGGGCCTAGAATTCAATATGTAGTAATTTTAAGATTTTTTTATTTTTATTTTTTTAACTTTTAGCTTTTGCTGTAGCAGAGACCAGTACTAGACCATCACATGAATTTCAAATGGGACTCTAATCATATTTAACTTTCTCTTCCATATTATAGTTTAAATGGAAGAAGCCTTCCCTTATTCTATCTCCTTTTCATATCTGTTAATACGTGGAAAAGATTTGGATCTCCTTTGCATTCTTCCTTATCCCTATTTCGTTGTCTAATCAGGAGCATTACAAAGAACTGAAGGACAAAAGTTTCTATCCTAAGCTGATAAAATACATCACATCTGGTCCAGTTGTGTGTATGGTATGCTACTTGAGATCTATCAATTTTTGTTGCAAGTAAGATGCAGAGAATGATGAATGTTTAAAACCATTTAAAAATGGAATAAAAATAAATTACTTTGACCATTTATGCATTCAATCTATGTTTTCTTTTCTACAAAGAGGCATGGGAAGGTATTGGAGTAGTTGCATCGGCTCGTAAGCTTATTGGAGCAACAAATCCTCTTCAAGCTGACCCAGGAACTATTCGGGGTGATTTAGCTGTTCAAACTGGAAGGTAGGAGCCCTTTAAATTTATTTCTTGTACCGTGATTAGCTCGGCATTCTATTTATATTTCTATTTGCATGAGAAGTCTTTCCTGTGTTGTTCTGTGCTTTTATATTTTTTGTAAAAGTGATATCTGATTTCTTTCTAGAAATGTTGTTCATGGAAGTGACAGCCCTGATAATGGACATCGTGAAATTGGTAAGACACTAATTTTGTTGATTTACAATTACTATGAAATTTCCTTAAATCTTTTTCTTTTGCAATACATGATCCGTATTATGATCCTCTTTTTCTTGTCATCATCATTATTAGCATTATCCAACTATTTGGGGCTAGCTTAATGAATCCTTATTTTTCATTCGTTCATTTTGAGTGTTGTTAAGGTGTTAATCAATCCTTCACAAATAATTTTGAACAACTTTTATCTATTGTATAACCTTAGGTCTATTCATTTTCTTTATTAATGCTCTCTGAAATTAATTTTATTTACTCATTTACTTGGTGCATTTTCTATCTTTCAAAGTACATGTTCAAATCACCTCAATTTTTTTTAAATTTCCTTAACTTTAATAAATGTTTGTCCAACTTTTTATTTGATATAATTATTCCTTAATTCATTCTTCTTAATTTCACCATATTATCATTTGAATACTCTTATTTGTGACACACTTAATTTAGGTATCAATGATTGTCTTGAAAGTCAACGTTAACATTGACATAACATAGAACGCCTAATTGAAACATAGCTTTGGCAATATTGAAACTAGACACTGGTGCTCGTATATAATTGCTTTTAAAAGAAAAAAATACTTGAAATTTCTTGTGTAACGCCTTATATATGGTAGTGCTTTAAGTAAAGTTGTGTATTCCACTTAATGTATTTTTGTTTCATGTTTTATGAATGTAAAGTTTGTTTTCTGCAAGAGAAAATTCATGTGCCTTCAATGCACGAAACTAGAGTTAGTTCTACTAAAAAGAAAATTGAAATTAGAAAAAAAATTTAAGAATGAGTCTTTTGATTTAATAAATCTATATTTTATCGTTGAAACAAATTTCTTAGAAAGGTTTGAAACAATGGTTAAGAAATTTCGAAGTATATTAAATACATTTTTTGCATGAACAAGAACTTTTGATATTAGGATAAAATAAAAGAGTAAGCAATACTATTTTTCCATCTTAAATTTATAATTATTTGAATAAATATTTAAATAACTGCTATATACTCACATAATTTTATACATTAGATCAAGCATTGAGAAGTCATAACAAATTTTTAGATTGTTGCTATTGCCCATGGATTCTGGAAAGTTCATTGTTCTTGGAGATTCCATGGATCTTGCCATCCATCTATCCGTGCCTGTCCAAGATGATTTTGAGGTTCTTTCATAGAATTCACCAATCTATGACATTGCTTCTTTATTTTTTGTGCATTGTTAAATGGAGTAAAGATACACAGCTCATCTTAGTCTGTTGGTTGAGAGCTTAGGCTCCCAATTAAAAGGTCTTGAGTTCGAGTCTTTGTGTATGCGTTGTGTGTATGAGTTTGCCTTAAATGACCTAAATGTCCCCCCCCCCCCCCCCAAAAAAAAAAAAAAAAGCCAAAAAAAAAAAAAAAGAATAAAGATTTGAATTCAAATATTCAGATCATGTTTTATTATTTTTTTCATTCTACTTCTTCATGTTTAGAAACGTTTTTGTTGTATATGAAAAATTGCGGATCTTCTCTATTTATACCTACCTTGTCTTTTAGAATTATTGAATAATTAAATAAAAAAAAAACTTTCACATATTTTTAGATTGTATCAAAACATTTCCCTTAGCTCTTCCTCGTATTTTTCCTTCAATTTTCTCCTACTCATTCAGTAATGGCTGCACGACGACCTTACATGTATCGTCGTAGGGGACCTCAGGATGAAAGGTTCCATTTATTTTATGTTTTAAGTCTAAGGTTTGAGTTAGTATCTGAGTATGAATAGTATGTAAAGTTTATGTATGTTGACTCAAAAGTTTTTATTGGTATTGAGATAATCTGAACTGTTTGGGACTATCTGTATTTGATGTTGTTTTAGTGGCTCTTTCTTATTTATGGATGATATTTATGTACTGATGTTATTTATCTAATCAATTTGATTTATGTTTCTAATGCTCTTCCGTACGATCGTCTGTTCCCGCCCCGATATTATCGGGCTAGCCGGGCCGGGTCGTGACAAAGGCTGGGAAGATTGTCTTACAGGAGCAGCTCAAACAATTAATGAAAAGGACCCATAGTTTTGGATGTGAAAGGTGGAAACTATCATGATGATGCCATGGCTAATAGTGCCTGAAATGAAATTGGAGAAAATTTCATGAATTGTGAAGATGTCGACAAAGTTGGGATGCTACAAAAGAGACCTGCTTCAATGTTGACGTTACCTTGACTATATTCAAGATCAGGGCATATTCATGATATATTTCAACTTAAATGTTATTGATAATATTTTAATATCTTTGATGAAATAGAATGATGTTGCCTCAAAGATTAAAACTTTAGACTTAATTTTTAGATGGACATGCAAGAACACGAGACTTCATGGTCGAAGAGTTTCGCCGGAGGATCACATGACTAGCTCTTTGTGAGCTAAATTCCTCAAAAATGAACTAAAGGGCACCCTCAAGATAATACTTTGTATTTATTTTAATCCAAACTAAATACTCAAAAACTCAAAATTTTTGCATCCAAAATGCAACACACTCAAAACCGCTGTAACCAAATTTCGGCCAAGCTTCTTTAGGATTTATCGCCAAGCAACTTTAAGACCAACTCATCTAGTGATAGCTCAAATGATCCTTTCTAGGCATTGCAAGAAGTCGTTATTGTTTTAGTTGCTCATCGATGTGTCTCTTATCTTCCTGCCATTAAGCTTCGAACTCTTTCAAATGACCATTGTTTAGCTTCTTCAGGAGAGCCTTTAAGACTCAACAATTCTCGGTGTCCTGGCCATGTTTTTTCTAGTATAAACAAAATTTGGTTGTCTCTTTCCAGCACCTTTCCTCAACTGAATAGGTCAACAAAAGTAATATCTCTTGTGAATGGTTGTAAATACAATTTAGTAACCAGTTAAGAGGAGGCAGATAAGGTTTTCGTGTCTTCCAACGATTACAAAATATGGTTTTTTTAGGCTTCTCATAGGGATGTTGCCTCGTTTGAAAACTTAACTAGTGAGAGAAGTAGGTTTTTTTATACTAAAAAAAGGTTTTTTTATACTTCCTCTCAGGATAGGTCAAGGTATATCTTACAGAATTGTCTTAAAAAATTTGAGCTAGATTTGGCAGATATTAGCTTTCCAGAAAAAAACTTTTCAACACTAACAAATTTAGGTGCCTTCTTAAGCAACTCTTCCATGGTGACGAGCTTTTTTAATAACAGAATTTGAAATTATAAAGTTGCAATCCCAAAAAGAAAGCAACCTTGACGATAGACTTGCTACCATCAATTAGGTCATGGGTGGATTTTGTGAACTGAACGACATAGCATAGAGGCTATCTTCTTTAGCTTGCTTTACATTTTAATTGATGATAGAGTAATTGATGGTAGAGGTGTCCTGAAGCGGGGCCACCATCAGAAGCATTATATATGCCTGATATTTGACGTCTTGGGGTTCAATGTTCGGTCAAAATATGTCATTGCTACAGTTTAGATGAGGCCAATGCAGATTGCATGAAATATTTAGAAGTACCTTGGATTTACACAAGGTAAATATTTTTGATTATTTTTGAGTTGTTGATATTTTTAAATTTATTAATCTTTGATCAGAAAATCTGAATTTTATCTAATAATATATTATCTTTTGTGAAGTGTTGACTTGTGACTTATAACTACTTAGTTTCCAAATTGTGTACCTGAATATAATACTTATTTGTTTGAAATATTTATGTTTGTTTTAAGTTTGTTTGTTCAACAATCACATCCTTTTTTCTATTTCTATGAACAAGCTGCATGTTTGCAATAAAATCTCTTCGTAACAAATTCAAAATTTAATGAATTTCTTGCTCATATAGACCTAGAAATTTATTATTTAATCTAACAAGCCCAAGTACTCATTTGATTTATGGGCCTGTTTATAAGGTCATTTAGGTAATCTATGGATTAATGTAGGACAAACATATATGTAACCTTACTCGATTTTAATTTTTGTTCAATCCTACATGTTGAATTCGGATTTATCTAGCGGATAATACTAGACTTTACTAGTAGATTTGTCTGATAAACTTGAGAACTTGTTAGTGAGAATGGAGAATGGAGGAGAATGGAGAGCAGAGAATAGAGGAGAAATATGTTAGCAAAATCTTCTTTAACTCAGTCAATAATAATGAATAAACTTAGAGCCCAAAAGAAGTCTAAAGGTCTTCAAATGGTCAAAGTCCAAAAGTCCCCTTAACTGTTCCTCATCACCTCTTATTTACAGGATTTTGAAGGATTTTGAAGGCTATAGGAATGACTACACAGAAAAAGGCAAAAATATAGGCTACACATAGATGGGTATGATGTTACACACTAAGCTAAGACAAGTGACGCCTCCTGATTAGACTTGGTAAAGTGAAGTTAACGATCGAGTGAGCTAGAGAGAGAGAGAGAGAGGAGGGGGTAGGGGCGAGCCTTTTGAGATGATATTGGCTAGTGATATGAGAGGCTCGACGTTGCCCTATTGGTGAAGGCGAGTTGAGGTCTAAGAGAAGATGATGAGTTCTTGAGCCTAGCTTGAATTGCGGCTAAATGAGTGAGGGGTTTCTGCTGTAAATGTTTTTCTGTAAATGAGTTCGGCGGGCTTGATGAGTTTAAAGGGTAAGAGCTTGGGTGAGATGAGTGATGATTTGCTTGTTTAATGAGGAACCTTTTAATCGCCCAGTGTGGGGCGATCTCGAGTGGATGCAGGTAAGTGATGTCCTCTTCTTCGACGAGTTCCTCTAGTAGCCGTGGGGAGTCCTTGAAGGCATCTGCTTCTAAGGAGTATTCTTGTCATGTCCCGATTGCTGCTCCTTGTCTGACAGTTGATACAAGTTTAGATTCTAGAAACCCTTGTTTCCATTTATTTTATGTCAACAGTTTCGATGTTTCATCGAAGATGCATTCTCCGTAAGTAAACTTGTTTGTTTACTCTCGGCATTCTATTACTGTGTTTGCTCTCCTGATTACCATTTTTTCCTATTCTTGCTAAAACTAAATGCTGGCTGCAGTTTCTCAACTCCATTGAATCATGCATGCTAAGTATCCTCATTCAAACGTTTAGTGGCTTTTACACAGTCTATTTTTATCATATAGAGCACAACTCAATCACAAAAACCCATTTTTTTTAGTTCTAAATATTTCGAGAATTGAGGAGGGTTAATAGTCTGTCATTAACCATGATATAAATTCTACAGAATTTTAAAGAAACATAGATACCATCAAGCCAAGGTGAACAAAGTACATCAAAACACGTAAGGCTTCAAAATGTTTGTTTTTTCCCTTTACGAACAAAATGGACACAAGAATAGCATAGAATGGTTGAACATTACTGACTGTAGCAGCTGAAGTGCCAACAAGGCTTAAATGTGCACTGTAGATATCATAACGCACTTGATTTCAAAAGCTTCCAAGGATTGTTATGCAAAACCTGCTGTTTCTTATGATTATTTTATTTTATAGTATTCCTACATAAATGAATGGGTTCATTCTCTAACCTGCTTAACCCTTTTCAAAGATCTCTGGTTCAAGCAAGATGAGTTGTGTGAGTGGGTACCAGCTCAAGAACCTTGGCTCAAGGAATAGATGTGGGAAGACTAATATGCTTTGAAGGTTCCAGAATAAACTGAAAAGAGGTTTCAAGATACTTCCTTGAGCCCATTTCCTCTGGCAGTTGGAGGTTTTTTTTCTTTATTTAATTTATTATTTTTTATTTTAAGTACTATGTTTCAAGCTAATATGAAGATGGTTTCTTAGATATTTTTTTCCTTTTGTAAAAGTTTGTTCTTGAAGCGCTTGATTGATTGTTATTGTATCATCTCCCAAGAGATTGAATGGAAATTTTCTTATCAAGATATCCTCAGAAATTTTACAGCAGAATAAGAAGATAAGTAATTAAATATATAGCACAGTACAACATTAAACTACAGTGCTAAATGGCGTCTAAGGGCATCTCCAACCGAACTCCAAATGCTTGAATGACGTCGCTCGCGAGCTACAGCCGAACGGTAAAAACTTCCGTTATTTGGGTGCGGGTGAACAGTGGGACGTCAATATTTGATTATGAAATTAATAGTTTTACTAGAAGATATAAACAATAGTAGAGATTTTTTAATAATTTAGTGGAAGTGGGTTTAGGACCGGAATACAATTCTGATTAATTTATATTTTTCTTTTTTTTTTAAATATTTTATTGCTCATATAATGAGTTTACCCACCTGTAAAATTATAGCTGATTCCGCCGTTGTTAGTAACTCGACATTCTTCACACACCTAGACCAGTACATCAATCATTCATCAGAGAGACCTCAGACACTTGCTCCTTCATAGAGCGACCATTCTTCTAGACTCTATTACATGAAAGTGCCTATTTGCTGGTTTGAGATATATAACTTTCTTGGGCATTCTATAGAATTTTTCGTTACTCTCTCAACTCTCTCCATTCTCACATGTCAAGCTCATCTAATTCACATGTTTGATCTGCTAGTAAGATTTTGTATCTTTCGTGAGTAAATTTTGGATTTAACACTAATAGATAAATTAAAGTTTAAGCATGTAGAATGAAATTAACAATAACATAGAGATATACATTTGCAAACGACAAAATAATTGGTGAAGCAGATAAATTATAAATAATAGTGATAGCATTGAAGCTTTACAACTTCTTAAAATAATTTTTTTTGTAAAAAAAATTTACTTTTTATATTAAAAATCTGCTTTAAGAAGTAGTAAGAAAGCCGTCACAAACGAAGCCTTAGAAATGAGATACGAAGTGACGACACCTTCACTCTGCTTCTTACCCTGTAAATTGGAGTAACCTAGCTTCCCATTCCCATGGCGGGCTCGCTGGCAAACTTCGTTAGCTAACGGTCTGCTGCTTGGGGATGCGATGCAGTTAGTCGGTAGCTTAGGGGATGGAGAATGAGAGAAGTGCTATCAAACATTTGTTTGCGATATGCCATAAAATTTGACTTATGAGATATTTTAATCTCTTAAGTGGTTGTTTGGTGATATGTAGAATTTAGTAAATCCTATAGATTTAGATTTACTAAATACCGAGGGTGTTAAATTTTGAAAATTATTCTGCATGACATTTGTTATTATATGATAGAATTGAAAATTTTTAATTGATATCAATAAATTAAATCAGTAACCAAATTATAAATCCAACATAAATTTATATAACAAAAATGATAAAACCAACAAAAAGTTAATAGTATATTAACATTGATGAACACAACCTAAGTAGTGAAAAACAAATGACGATATATGTTGCATGTTGATAGTGATACGATATATCTACTAGTTTAGAACAATTCAATCATGATAGGCGACACTTTTGACTCGACATATGAAATAAAAAAATCACAAATTTTTTAAAATTTTATATTTAAATAAAATTTTTACTACTATGATTAAAATTTTTGCCCAATCATCCTACAAATCTATGTTGATGACATGTTTTATTGCTTTCGCTTGAATTCTTTCCCCTATTATTGCTTATTGGGATCTTCATCAGATATTTCAAACTCTCCGTATGACTGTCATATTGCATTCCCGTTTGCGACAAATTGAAATAGAGATCTTGTTTATGGTATCAATTAATGAAGTTGCGCAAACCTGCACATGCAAGCATAATATTACCTTGGACATTAAGTGGAAATTGTCGCATGTGAGTTAACACTTGAAATCGTTCTTTCCAAATTCCAGAAGTTCTCTCAATTATGTCGTGCACATCAGTGATTAAATAACTCTAACTCAATAATATATCTTTTATAGGTAGTTGTATGATAATCAGTCATGTGTTAGCATAACTAGAGTTAACCAAGTAATAACTATCACATGATACTTCAAATTCCCTCCTCCATTGCCTATATAAGCATTCACATATCCACATCAAAACTCTCCCACCTAGAGGCAACATAGACAAACTACTGATCAAATGACACTATCACAATTATATTTAGAAATGTAAACTCCTGATTACAATCTCAATTTCGTAAATTATGATTGACCACTGTAAGAACAAATATATCTTTTTTTGCACACTTTGCATTTTTGAACTAGGGGTAAAATAGCATATTTGAATGTTGGGTGCTGTGTGTTGCATGTTTTGAGTTATGGGTTATGGGTATTAGGTTGTAGGTTACAGGTTGCGGGTTATAGGTTGTTGGTTACGAGTTATGTATTGTGCATTGCGATTTATAGATTATGGACTAGGTGTTGTTGTTGCAAATCAGGAATCAAGATTGAAATTGTGATTTTTGATGATAACAAAATTTTATTGTTTCTCCTAACATATATTGGATATTTCTGTTTGTTTATGTGATTAAATCTAGAGATCTAGAGATGCATATACTACGAACTACATTAAAAATAAGAATCTCATTTGGAAAGATATGCAATTTATGTTCATCAATCCAAAATACTTTATTTAAATATTTTATCTATTATTTAACTATTTTTATTCAGTGATTGAATCTCCATATATAACTAATCATTTTATTTTAATAGGATAATTTTACAATTAGAATAAACAATAGTAGTTAATTGCTAAAAAGCTGCTCTATCACTTTATTACTCGGTTCGACACATATACTTGTGTATATTAAGTAGGGTTTGTTATTTTTATATATTAAAGAAAATTTAAGCATTATTTACGGGAGATAGAGCCTTAAATATTTTATTTGAATTCAAAATTTCACTCCATAGTACCCATGAGTCATGTACTTGAGATCCAAAAGAATGTGTTTATCTATTTCAATCAATACATTTGAATATACACCATGAGTTTCTCAATATTAAGCAATATTAATGTGAAAACCATAAAGATCATACATGATAAAATGCTAATAAAATCAAATCTATAAAATTTTCTTCGAACAATGATTAAATTATCTTTGAGCCATGATTGAAACCATAATCAAATCATCTATAATTCATAATAAAATTATATTCAAACTATTATTCAACCTACTTTAAACTATGATTATACCACTTTAAATCATGATTGAACTATTTTGAATCCTTTTTAATCCATCTTCGAATTATGATAAAGTATTGCACAAATCATATTCAAATATTATTTAAACATTGTTCAAAAGATTGAACAATATTCAAAGATGATTCAATCAGGATTCGAAGATGGCTTAGCCATGATTATATGGTTGTTCGAAGATGGCTCAAATAAGATTGTAGCATATACTATAATTTCTAATAGAGTTATAGGCTTATGGTCAAGAGTGTAAACAACTCATTTAAACCAAATTAATCAAATATATAATATAATTAACGTGAATAGAGAGATCATCATTGTAAAATATTATCGGGGGATTTATGGCTCAAATAAGATTGTAGCATATACTATAATTTCTAATAGAGTTATAGGCTAACGGTCAAGAGTGTAAAAAAAAAAAAAAATGGTCAAGAGTGTAAACAACACATTTAAATCAAATTAATCAAATATATAATATAACTAACATGAATAGAGAGATCATCATTGTAAAATATTATTGGGGGATTTACATACATACCACTTTATACTATTTTATTTACATATCTAGCACCTAAAACTTTAATACTACATACATACCATCATATGTTATTTTAATATCAAATATGTCACTCATACTTCATTCATACCATCCATATATTTCATTTATACCACTCATAATTGATATGAAAGTAAACTATAAGTGGTATGTATGTAATATTAAATTTTTTTGTGTTAGATATGTAAATATAATAATATAGAGTGATATGTATGTAAATCTTTCAACATTATCCTAGTTGAGTACAAAAAAAATAAGATCAGCAATAATCAAAAGGATTCTTTAGAGGAGTTTTGACTCTTATTAATAAAAGTGGATGTATTTTAGTACAACATTTTTTTTTAATATATTTCTTTAAAAAATAGTAACTATAAATTTTCAGTCATAATTATTATACTTTATATATATATATATATACACACACTTTGGCGTTAAAAGCGAGCACGGGAAATCGGGCAAGGTCGAATCGAATTTCGTTAGAAGAGGGGAGCGAAGTGGTTGACATGGAGCCGCCACGGCCACCACACACTTCTGAATCGACTGTTCCCTCGCCTTCTGCGTCGGACGTAGCGTGCTCGAGCTTGATGGCAGTGGAGGACGAAGTGGCCGAGATGACATTGACTGTGAAGTGGAGCGGAAAGGAATACACAGTGAGGGTTTGCTGTGACGATAGCGTGGCGGAACTTAAGCGGCGGATCTGCGAGCTTACGAACGTTCTTCCTAAGCGTCAGAAGCTCCTTTATCCGAAGCTTGCCAACAAGTTTGGCGACGATTCTCTTATGCTTTCCCAATTCAATCTTAAGCCCTCCATTAAGATGACCATGATTGGGTTAGCAAGCCTTGCCTTACTCTCTTTTCTGATAATTTTTTCAAGTTAAATTGTTCTATCTTTCTTGTTCCGTCGGTTCGTGCAATTTTGTTTTAATGAGATAACGTGCTAATGGAATTCTAGTAATCATTTGCACTGGCAGACCCATGGATATTTTTTTTTTGCGTGGGGGCAAAATATTTAGAAAAAAATTCTTCAAAATTACAAAAATGTAAATCACGTGATTCATCATTACTCAACTCTGTTAATCTATTTGTTGGAAGCTTTGGCTACAAACTAAGAGGTATTGAATTTGAAACTTACATATAATGTGTGTGTAAATTATCCTTAATTGGCCTAAATGTCTAAAAAAATATTATTCATCATTTGTTCCATAGGCTTCCAAAGGTGACGGCTTCATTTCACAATGGCATCTACCCTGTTTACTACCCTTCCATTCCTATAAAATTCTCTCTCTCTGACTCTCTCTTTCTCTCCTCTTTTTTGCATCCCACCTCACATATTGCAACAAAAAGTATAGTGGAAGCCAAAAGATGTAAGTGTTGGTTGTTATTCTACTATAGACACAATTACTAACAATAATAGTAGCAAGAGAAGTTGTATAAGAGAAGACAAACAGAGCTCTGAAAAGTTATTTTGGAAGAGAAGAAAAAGCAAAGTACACTGTAGAAGAAAATAAACCATAGAAGATCAGAGATGGGGATGAAGCTGTGGTGTTTTCCATAGAGATGGTTGCTTATGTTTTCCACAATCACAGTGTTAATAGCAACCGTGGTCATAGTAGCCAAATTTAAGCATTTCCTCATCTTATGGTAGAAGTCAAACAGGGTCGATCAGCACATTGCCAAGTAGGGCATAAGAGGCTCACCTTACCTTTTCTTCATAGGAAAAATATTTCTGGCGGGCCAGTGGGGGCATGTGCCCCTAGTGCCCTCACCATGGCTCCGCCGGTGATCATTAAGCATTATTGATCACCATGGAGATGTTTTGTAACTTTAATGTGCACAATTATGATAATTCTCTCAATTTAGTGGGAGAAAGTGATGGAAAGAAGGTAAAAATTGTGTATTAACTGCCCATGTGTCTGTTGCTATGCTGAAAGTTACTATATTTTCCACCGTTATGGTCATAAACCTCGATGATGACCATAACAGAATATTCAAAGTGCATTACATTTTGATGAATTAATTATGCTTAGAACACTTGTCATTTTTTTATTTGGTATCCTGTTAAGATTTTTGTAATGATGGAATAGTTTGTTGCATCTTATGTTAATATTGATTAGGCATATATCTTGTGTGGTTGAAATATGTTGGTTATACTAATAAGAGGAATTAAGGCAATGAAAACTAAAAAGTTCCTTCCTCTTAGTTTTCTCTATTATTATTTTCTTTTCCCTCTAATTTTTTCATTTGAAAAGAGCCCTTCTAATCATCCATCATCCTATCTTTGTTGCTATGAGAATTTTGGCAAACTCAAAGATCATAAACTATCATTTATCATTTGATTCTCTTGTTGATCAACTCTTCCTACGATGGGCAATGACATCTGTTCCATCAAAAGCTATGCAAGAGTTGTAATAATCCTTTTAAATGAAAAATCTGAATTTTCGCGCTGTGCATTGCCGAATAGGAGAGAGGGAAGAGAAAGAAGGTTGTTCGAGGTTTTTTCATATGTTAGTTTTGTTAAGATATTTCTTCTATTTGTTGTAACTCAAATCTCATTTTAGTTTTCAATGATTTTTATTATTATATAGATTTTTTTGTAATAAATATAATTGATTATTTCCTATTGCATTTTGATTGTGTTATTTCTATAAGTAAGAAAGACTAGCTGTTAATACTATAAAATGGGCTGACTGTTAAAACTTAATATCCTGTGCAGGAGGGTGGGTTGATAAACTTTTCTTTAAAGATGATTTATAGTGTTATCTTAACTGTAGCCTAAACAGATGACCAATTATACTGATAAGCAGATAGTGATCACTCTTTATTGATTTAATGAAATCACATGTAATGATAATTAATTAGTTGAATATGATAATTAATTAATTGAATAACTAATAACTTATATGACTGATGACCAACTAGGAATCAATCGAGGTAAAAAATGTTGAAAAAATTAAATTAAGCTGGATGTCCTGCTTTACTAAATCATACATTGATGTATGCATATATTAATAGCACTAATGACATTGATAAACATATTAATATCATTGACAGAATTAGATGCATTGATAATACATAAACGAATGATATATATGAATAGATAAAATAGATTTTTTTAGTGGTTTATAAATGATTTTTGCACTATTCTTTTATCAATTTTTTGAATTTTATATCAATTATTGATTTTTATATTTTATGTAATAATTTCGTACTTTTATTAATAATCATTTTGAGTTTTATTGATAATATTTGATCATTAACCACATTAACTGCTATTGATTATATTAAACGAAGCATATTATATTGATTCTTTAGTTGTTGCATTGAAAGCTTTAGTGTGTTTTTGAATTACTGTTGGGCTTTTGAGCTCATTATATGAATATTTAATAATTTCAAGTCAAGGAAGGGGCCGTGATTAATTAGAGTGAGATTGTCAGAGATCCTTAGATTTTCTTTAAATTTTGTTATGTATTTTTATTTATTCTTTTATAGTTAGGAGCTTGTGATATATTAGTGATAGAGTGATCTTCTAGCTAGTGTAAATGATATTTTAGATGAATAAATATTAAAATACCTTGATGCATATAATTTTAGTTGTTTTTTCTGATTATTTTTTATATTGATGATTTATAAAAGCTCTGATATATCTTAAAATAATAAATAGACAATTCTTCCAAATTTGATTTTGAGGCGTTACAAATTGGTATCAAAGCGGTTGTTGGAAGAATTTGATTGTAACTAGAGATATATGAATTGATTTATGAGTGGGATAGAAGTTGGACAATATAGATTTTTCATTTCTACATTTTATTGAATGAGTTTTGATTCATGATTTGTTTTAATTTGATTTGAGTTTTTGATTTTATGATTTTTTTTAGTATTAATTTTGTGCCCAAATCCTTAAGGGAAATATTGGGGACGACATTTTTCTAAGATGGATAGGTTGTAATAATCTGATTTTTCTAATTATTATTTTTAAATAAAACATTTGAATTTCAGCACTGTATCTTGCTAAAAATGAGAGAGAGAAGGTTGTTCAGAGATTTTTCATCCGTCAATTTTGTTAAGATATTTCTTTTACTTGTTGTAAGTAATTTAAATCTCATTTTAGTTTTTCAATGATTTTGATTATTATATAAATTTTATTGTGATGAATGAAATTGATTATTTCCGATTGCATTTTGATTGTGACATTTGCATAAGCAAGAAAGGTTGATTGTTAATACTATAAAATGGGTTAACTATTAAAATATATTATCCTGCTCGATAGGGTAGGCCGACGGGCTTTCTTTGAAAGATGGTTTGATATGTTATTCCAGTTGTAGCTTGTAACATATGATCGATTATGCTGAAGAGCAGAGAGTAATGACTTTTTATTGATTTGGTGAAACCACTTGTAATAATAATTGATTAATTGAATTAGTGATAATTAATATGCCCTTGATAAACTAAGAATCAGTTGGGATAAAAGATGTTGAAAATATCACATTAAAGTTGGATGTTCTACTTTGTTAAATCATACATTGATGCATGCATATATTGAAAGCGTTGATGACATTGATAAGCACAATAATATTATTGACAGTGTTGGATGCATTGATAATACATAAATGGATGATGCATATGAATAAATAAAATAAATTCTTTTAGTGATGTATAATTTTTGCATCATTGTTTTATCAATTTATTGAATTTTATACAAATTATTGATTTTTAGATTCATTTTAATAATTCAATGCTTTCATTATCGATCCTTTTGAGTTTTATGGATAATATTTGGTCATTAACTATATTGATTGTTATTGATTATAGTGGATTGAATATATCATATTGATTCTTTAGTCATTACATTGAAAGATTTAGTGAATTTTGAATTACTGGTGGGTTTTTGAGCTCATTATGTGGATTTTTAATAATTTCAGGTCATGAAAGGGGTCATGACCAATTAGAAAGAGATTGTCATAGGTCCTCAAATTTTCTTTAAATTTTATTTTGTATTTTCATTTTTTCTTTTATAATTAGAAGCTTGTGATAGATTAGTCATAGAGTAATCTCCTCGTTAATGTAAGTGACATTTTAGATGAATAAGTAATAAAATATCTTGATGTATATGAATTTAATTACTTTCTTTGATTATTATTTGTATTAATGATTTATAGAAGCTATGTATATTTTTAAAATGATAAATAGATAATTCTTTCAAATTTGATTCCAGAACGTTACAAATTGGTATCATAGCGGTTGTTGGAAGAATTTGGATTGTAACTAGAGATACAAGAATTGATTTATGAGTGTGGTAGAAGTTGGGCATTATAAATTTGTCATTTTTGTATTTTATTGAATGAATTTTGATTCGTGATTTGTTTTCATTCGATTTGAGTTTTGATTTTACGAATTTATTTGGTATTGATTTTGTACCCAAATCCTTAAAGAAAATGTCAGGAATGACATTTTTCTAGGATGGGTGGATTGTAATAATCTGATTTTTTTAAAAAATTATTCTTTTTAAATGAAAAATCTTAATTTCAGTGCCATACCTTGCCGAAGAGGAGAGATAAAACAGAGAGAATATTGTTTGGAACTTTTTCATCCGTCGAATTTGTTAATATGTTTCTTCTATTTGTTGTAAGTAACTCAAATCTCATTTTAGTTTTTAATGATTTTGATTATTATATATATATTTTTTTATAATGAACAAATTTGATTATTTTCTGCTGCATTTTGATTATGGCATTTGCATAAGCAAGAAAGGCTGACTGTTAAGACAATAAAATTAGTAAGCTATTAAAACATAATACCCTGTACAGCAGGATGAGCCGAAAAGATTTCTTT